AAGCTTTCATTTCCATAATCGTACGGGTGTATTTATCCATTCAATCGTGAGCTCTGGTTCATCTGAAATGGTCAATCTTGGTTTTTGTTCAACAAAATTGTAAGCTAAATTGTTTAGCCTTGGTGAACAGTTTTTAATTGTTATTTTAGCTTCCTGATCTAATTAAATGCAATCAGTAGTGTTGTTCTTCCCTTTGGTTCCTGTTATCTGACAAAAGTTCCTCATTCCAGTTGAGGCTTCCTGTTGAACAGGCTGAACTGGCTGACTGAGAAAGAGGAGCCTGAAGTCGTTTCGGTCCGGATACTCAGATTTGTATAAATGATCTAACATGGTAAATGTACCTATATGGTGCTCTATCAGTCAAATTGACCACTCAAAGTTAGTCCTGATCACAGATAAATCATTGGTGACTTTAACATTCATGTAGAGGTAAATGAATAAATATGAACTGAAATGTTCTCCAAATGAACACGGTTCTACCTACTCTCTCAATCATACTCTGATCCTCTGAGCGTGAACAGTCTCTATATAATCCTGTTTTATCTGGCATTTTATTCTTTAAGTCTTTATTATTTGACTACGAACTGGGAACAGAAGCAGAAGTGTGAGCATGCTTCAGCTGAAAGCATTCCACCGGTGGCCGCTGATGAGCCCGCTGATTAAAACCAGTTGGATGAGCTCCTTTTTTACAGTCAAAGGATTCCTGACAGTTTTAGTGTACACTGATACTACTGAGCACCATTCCTATTTGTCTGTTGACCTGACATCCAGTTTCAGTCACATTCCACCTACATATCTTGAATTGTTCATATTTTAGACTGAATTCTTCAAACTACCTTTAGCTCTAAACAGCTCTAACCGGCCTAAAGGTTCCTCAGAGCACTGGGAGCAGCTCAGAGATTCCACATCATTAAATCCAACCGAAGGATTTCCACTCCGGTACTACGTCGGTTCAGTCCAAATAAGAAATTGATTTAACATCAACTCCTAAAAATACCTGAGCTGGACATTTAGCTCAAAGCCTCATGGATGTCTACTGTTTACAGAGAAATCAGTGAGCCCTGAAAACGTCAGAGACCAGATCAGTAGGAGCTCTCAGTACCTTTGGCACATAGCTTCCCCTTCTACAGGTGAAGAGGTAATGCTGACCCACCTGCTCTGAAAACAACAATCAGCAGGACAAACACTGGAGCCCTTTCCCCCAGATGGAGTCGCGGGGGGCGGGGCCTATCCCAGGATTCAGTGGGTGAGGGGCGGGGTCCCCCGGGGTCCATCACAGATTAGATCAAACAGAACCACGACTGGTCCAGTGAGTGACCTAAAACTGCCAACAGGACAGGCAGGAGCAGGACGCCTCTCCACCGTCAGGGCTCTGCTCCAGCGTTTAGGGTGGGGACCCTAACCTCCCGTGGGGGGGGCAGGATGAGCTCCGGGGCTCCTCTTCTCCCCCAAACGGCAGCAGGAGGTCGCTCCCCTCAGGCGGGAATACCGGGCTGCTCCTCCAGGACCGTCGGAGCTGTGCGGGAAGAGAAGTCCGTAATAAAAGTTTACAAAGGTGTCTCAGTCTCATTTCTTCATCAGGATGAAGTCTTCTGACTATCTGAGAATGTTCTGAAACGTGCAAAACGTGCTGAGACAGCAAAATGCTGGATCAGACATATTTTGCTGCCCCCCCCGCCCCCCC